ATATTTAGTTTATAAACTATGACATTTATAAATGTATGAATCATATGGTGAAAAACTGACTTTGAAAAACAAATCTGTTCTTTTTTTCTTATAAAAGTCTAAATTAAACAAAAATATTGGTGGTAATTTTTGACTGTGTAACTTTACAAACGGCACCCCATAAAAATCTACCACAATTTGGCATCATGAAAAAATACTACAAATCTAACAAAATGTGAGCTGAGATTTTTATTTCAAGAGGACAAAAACGTTTTGTCTGGAGTATAATTGTGGGCAAGAAGGTGAAATCATGTCCTCAAGTGAAGAGAGTCTCAAAAAAATGTCTTCCTTTGTTTTACTTTTTATTTCTCTTTCCCCCCCTGAGATAACCTGACCTAGAAAGGTTGTGACTTTAATCCCAGGAAAAGAAATCCAGCTCTGGAGTCCCCAGATAAGGTTTGCAGACCTCAGGAGTTGATGACTCCCACTTGTGACACTTCTGACCTGAAAGAGCGTCAACACCAGCTTCCTGTTTACTGACAAAAGATAATCAACTCAAACACTGAAACAGGGCATGAACATTTGCTGCTGTTCATTAAGGACAAATGATGGGACGTCCAGTTTTTAGAGTAACCTGGTCAAAACTGGTCTGTCTGTGGTCATGGAGAGGAGACTGAGCAGCGAGTCAGCTTCACAGGAGATTGGCATTCTGTGCTCTTTGCCATCTGAGCAGCTGACTGATCATCCATCACTTTTACAAATAAGCTATTCTTAATCTTTTAACACAAGCCATGCAACATGACCTGTCAACAAAAATAAAACGTGTGCTTTACATCCACGAACATCTGAGACACGCAGTCTCAAAGCTCAACAAGAATAAACATCTTATAGCAGTGAAATCCCTGAGCATGGCTCAGTTGAGTTTTTAAACTGGAACCAAGACCTTGTGAGGATTACCACACCAATCTCCCCAGTGGTAATTAACGATCGAACAGTGGAACTGGTGCCGCAGTGTAAATACTTGGGAGTAGTTACTGATGAAAAGTTGAGTTTTGAGTCACAGGTGGATTGTGTGGTAAAGAAAGCACACCAGCAGATGCATGTTTATCACATGCTTAGCTCTTTTAATATCAGCCCTGTTTTTATGAAGATGTTTTATTCTGATTTTATTAAATCTGTTCTTACTTTTGCTTTTATTTGTTGGCACGGGTCACTTTCCATCAAAATGAGTATCACTTGCAAAATATTGTCAAGATTTGTTGTAAAATTGCTGGCATGTCTCTAAATGACCTGAGTGAGGTCTATAATTCATGCATGATTATTGGGTAAATGTGAACTGTACGGCCTACGAGGGGTAACATATCACTGGTTGAAGAGTTATCTGAGTAATAGACTACAATACGTACAAATTAACAACACAAAGTCACAGACCGAAATGGTTAAATATGGTCTTCCTCAAGGCTCAGTTCTAGGACCTAAATTATTTATACTTTACTTAAATGATATTTTTGAAGTATCCAATCTTTTAAAGTTTGTAATGTTTGCTGACGATACAAACCTATTTTTCTCTGGAAAAAATATGGATGAAATAATAAAAACAGTAGAAAAAGAGCTAGCTGAGTGGAAAACATGGTTTGACTATTACAAGTTGTCATTAAATGAAGGAAAAACTAAGTTTATGGTATTCTCCAGTTATCGGATCCATAATAATGTAAAGTTATGTATAAATGGAGTTGAAATTGAAAGAGTTTGAGACAAATTTTTCAGGAATTGTTATAGACAATAAACTCAGCTGGAAGCCTCATATAGAATATATTAGAAATAAAGTTGCAAAAACTATTGGAATATTGTTTAAAATTAAAGATTTAATAAATATTAAGGGTTTGCATATTATATATTCCTCCTTGGTTTTGCCTTGTTTGTCATACTGCTCAGAAATCTGGGGAAATGCAAGTAAAACAAACATTGATATTAGTTAAGTTGCAGAAAAAAGCTATAAGGCTTATTAATAAAGTGGGATATCATGAACCCACTGATAAACTCTTCATTGGACGTAATTTATTTAAAGATATTGTTTATATAAAAATATTGGAAATAATGTCTAAAGCATTGAACAAAAGTCTTCTTTCTGGTATTCAGAAATTATTTAAGTTAAGAGAGAATAAATATAATCTGCGAGGTTTATTTATATTTGAATGTAAAAGAGAAGAATCAGGTAAAGACAAAATGTGTTTCAGTTGTTGGTGTGAAACTATAAAATGMAGTGAATGATGATCTTAAAAGAGCTCTGAAATGTAAAATGAAAACAGCTGTTATGTAGATTTATTTATGTATTGTGAAGATATCTTGGTAGGTTGTTGAGTATAAAATAGGGCAAGAATGAGCTTGGTTTCAGCCTATCCCTCTTTTTAGTCAATTATGAGTTTGTTTATTGTTTCTGTTTTGTTTGTTGTTGTTTTTTAATGTTTAATGTGAAAAATTTACCAAAAATAAAGTTATTGATTGATTGATAATTTCAGGTCTTTAAAGAAGGTTAAGATCATTTTGGAAGATTCAAGTCATCCTTTTTGGGGAGAATTCCCCCTCTTACCTCCAGGACGGAGATCCAGACTGCCCTACTGTCCAGCTGCAATTGGCCTATATTGTAAGTGCTAATATGGAATATATGTAYGTTTTTATGTTTGTGTATTGTACTTGCATGTTTTCCTTCTCTCTTTTCTCTTCTTTTTTACACTGCTGTCTGCACAACAAATTGCCCCTCAGGGATAATAAAGTTTACTTGACTTATTTAACAGCTGATTCTGAAACAAAGCATGAAAGTTGGATCCTCACATTTCTGTCTCCCAAGTATAAGATGATCCGGTCCTCTATGGGGTCCTTGTCTGGGTCCACCTTGATGAACAGGCTGATAGACGTCACTGTCTTCAGCTCGTTCAGGTTGCAGTGCGGCTGAACCTCCACTGCAGACTGTCCGTTAAACTGCATCGAGACCTGGACCTACAGGAAACAACAAAACAAAACACAGAAAGAGTTCAAGTTTCTGATGGGAACAGCTTCAAGATATTTTCACATGAAACATTCTGCTGCTGGAGCTTTACAGGCTGATGTGTCCATACAGGTCCTGTTAGACCAGAGGTGCCCAAAGTGGGGCCCGTGGGCCAAAATTGGCCCGCCAAGCCATTGGATTTGGCCCAAAAGCCGTTGTCCTGGTGTCTAGATTGTAATCATGTTAAGATTAAATATAAAATACAAGTAACTACAAGAGACATTTAGATTACCATATTTATTCATGTATAATATGACCTCATGTATAATATGATCTCATGTATAATACGACCTCGTGTATAATATGATCTCATGTATAATACGACCCCCCCCTTTGTGCTTAAAAAGTATAAACAATTTAATCTTCAAACTACCTCCAATTTCATACTGACTTGAAGATTTTTCAGCCTTTGCAGTCTTTATACATATCAGTAAAATGATCATTGGACTGTTCATTTTATTTTAACAACATATGTACTAAAAGGTATTTTGACAACAAATATATATCAGCTGTAGCAGCATCATATGAATTCTGACATTTTACACATAGTCCACCAGGAGGCGCCAACACAAAAGCCAGAGACTTCACATGAGATTTGGACCATCTTGTGGGGGAAAAGCAGATTACTTCCTACTCGCGAGCGCCCCCTGTGGTGGGGAAATGTTTTTTCAGGGATACAAACTTTTTCAGAACACCGGTAGACGGCAGCCATTACAGACGAACATGTGTTTGTTGTTGTTCCAGGAGCRGSTCVGTCACACACTAATGTCATTAGTTTGTTAGTTTGTTAAGGTGCAGGACTGCTTTTTTAACCCATTTTTTAACATCACGTCTCCTGCCTGGATCTGTTATTATCTCGCTCTGAAGCACAGAGGAGTGTCAGAGGTGAGCTCGTTTCAACTGAGTTTTACAGCGTGGTCTCATTTCCGAACTCAATAATTTTGTGAATGAAGCTGATTTTTCAATTAAAATACAAAAGTAAAAATATTTATCCGAGTATAGTACTACCCCCCAACTTTATGGATGATTTTATGGATTTAATTGTATGTATTATACTTGAATAAATACGGTTGTTAAGCCCATATCTAGATTTTCACACCTTATAAGACCCCATATACTCAAATTTTAAATTATGAAAAGTTACCTGAGCATACGTAGAATTTTCTCCGGGTCCATGGGCTGAAAAAAAACCTTAACAAAACAAAAAAAGAATGTGGGCAGCCGCACTGGCTGCTAGCTTAATCATGAAAAATAGAACAACTTTACTTAAGAATTATTTGGATTTCTTATATTACTGCATTTGGCCTGCAGCCCTCAGATTGATTTCAATTTTGGCTCTCAGGGGAAATGCTTGGGCAACCCTGTGTTAGACAGAGGACTTGTGTCCATACAGGTCCTGTTAGACAGAGGATTTGTAACTAAAGTAGCACTAATGTATGAGGAAAACAGTTAAAACAAGCCCCGCCCACCTGATCCTTATCCCAGTTGTTCCCTGTTGGTTTGTCTGTTCCTCAGTCATGTCTCTGTTTTGCTGCCTCAACAGCTTTTTTGTTTTATTATTAAAGTCAGTTTATTTTAGTATAGAAATCCTCTGGAGGTGTTTGTCTGCACTTTGGGTCCAAAATCATCTCAGCTGTTTTAATGTTGCTATCAGTTTTATTTTAAAACCAAGCCTGTAGACATTTGAATGAAGTTTGCTTGTGTGAAACAGATTAAAATCATTTGATAAATATTATTTCAGAACAAAGATGAAATCCTCTGACAATTCTTCAAACTTAGAATAGGCCTAAAGTTCAATATTCATTGTGTTAGTAAAATATTCTTTTTAATTGTTATATACAGTATTTTACTGGAAGGTAAAAATGTGAACGTGAAAGAGGACTAACTTTTCTGACAACGCTTCTGGCCTGAGAAATGAGCTCTCTGACTCTCATGATGTTGGTGGTCACGTTGTTGAAAGGCGTCTTTTTCTGGACCACCTTCAGCTTGTCCAGCAGCTCCGGGACCAGAACATTCAGGTTTTCCACTGCAACACAGAGCCAGAGATGAAAAACACCGTCAGTCTGTCTGTGTTCTTAATGAACCTCCGATAAAAAACAACCAAATGTAGCTAAATATCTGTCAGACTGAGTTTTAACTACTTTGTGTTTGCTAAGTTCACTTAGCTGTGGCAGCCATCTTGAATCAGGTTGACCATTTGCTTTGATTACTTTCTGAAAGTTTCATTAAAATACATCCAGTGATTTATGGGATATTTTGCAGACAATAAAGACAAATGAACACAGGCAAAATCATAAATCATTTAAGTAAATAAATATTATTATCAGAATATGTTATTGATCCCGGAGGCTCTGTACTGGGCCCACAGATGGTGTCTTTACATTGTTTGCTAAAGTTGGTGTAAAACTTATTTTTCCCAAATTTTTTCTAAGTCCGTCACAAAAGGTGTCTTTAATGTTTTTAAAATGAGTCGCCAAATTATTTTTGGATAAATATTTATGATTTTAGAGCTACATAAACATTTGTAAGTTACTTGAACTGTCGCAGACCGTTTCAGTATCAGGAAGCATCTGCTGCTGTGCAAGTTTTGGATCCTACCCCTCCCTTTGGTATCTTTGAAAAGACGAAACTCTCACAAATTCAGGGAAATATCTTGACACTGTGTTACTCTTTGTTTGGTGAYGTGAAGTTTGTGTGAAACCAAGAATATAAATAACAGCCGTCATGCGTAAAACATTGAGGCAGAGTTAGGTTCCATTCATTGATTTTGATGATGCACAGTGTAAATGTAAAAAGAAAAGGTTATGTCATATGCAGAATGAGTCCTACAATAGAAATCAACATTTTAATTAAACCATATTCTCTTTTATAAAAGTTAAAAAACCCATTTGACACAGTTTTGGGTACATTTGGCTAAATTGTGCCAAAATGCCATTTCCACCTGGCACACTGCTCACTAAAACCTTTGTGAAATGAATATACTTCAACTTATTCAGTCCTACTTTGCTACAATTTTTCTCAAGATGTGTATAAAATCTAAGGGCATTCCTGGGTTGTCACAAGAGTTTTCAATGTGTTTTGCACTGTTGATTTAAAAAAATTTTTAGGCGAGGCTAAAAAATTACAAAATTTCTTTATTTAATCACAAATAACTCAGGCACAGTAATGCTGCGTTCGCACCGAACGCGATTTCAGCTTCAAAATCGCAGCCAACGCTGAAGTTTGAAGCTTGTGCACTTTGAGGTCAGACGCAGGTCAGCTCTTGAAGCGCTGCAC